CGAACACACTGCCAGGCAGGGGCGAATCCATCCCCAAAATTTCGTGCAACTCCAACACAGAAAATTCTCTCCCTCTCCTGAGCTTCTCGCCAACTATGGCCGTAGAAATTGTACATTTATTGATTCCTCACCAGCCATTTTACGTCTCAAATTAAAATAAATTCTTAGGCCCGCCCGGGAGGAATTCGGGGGGAGTTGAGAAAGGGGAGACGAGGCACATTCTATTGCCCGAGGGTGTCCAATATGCTGTTTGTTTTTATTCGGCCATAGCACGATTTTTGAATTCCACATGGAATATTGCACAAATATAGCTCTATTTTCGATGGATATTGCCACCCAGAGGTGTGTTCTTCTGTCAGCCTTTGTCCAAGGGAGGGTGAGAAAAGGAGTGGTGTACGTTATGTACATTGACAGGAAAATTGATGGGGAAATTTCAGGCTTCAACATCAAAACTCCTCAGTGGACGTTACAATTTGAATTCTCCTTCTCAGAAGCTATTCAAATTTGTTTCCGGACGCGATTTTGGGTCTAATCCACACACAAACTCTGCACTTCTATTTCCCACTGAGTGTCCCCTCGACAAGTGAAGAGCGAACTCCGATCTGAACCTTAAGATAGTGATCACGTAAAATGCTTCACGATGTACAGCCCATTCAGCGTCATTAACGCACATTGTGTGTATTAAGAGATGGGAATAAAAGAAGCCAGCGTGCGTAGAGCAATAAGAGCCTCTCTCATTGCACTCACACACTTCCGCACCTCTGAGGTGTGTTCGAGGCGCTTTTTTTTCTTCTGTGCCTCCGCGAGTGTCTCTCTGCGCTGCCAGATGTGTGTGAGTGATGACGATACTCAATCGGCCTTGAAGCGGCCAATTTTCACATTATTCCTCCTCAATCATCGTCCCCACCCCCTGCCTGAAAACATGAGGACATCGCGGCGAAAACGCGCGTCTCGGGGACCTTTTTAGGACACGCAGATCGATGGTGGCGAGTAATTACTTGGCCCTGGGCTGTTCTCGGAAGTGTTTTTTCTCCACTTTTCCGTGGAGCTTGAAAGCTCCGCGAGCTTTCGACCGTGCTCTGTGCGTTCCACCCTCCCTTTTCTTTGGGTGACACACAGCGCCCGGTAATTGCACCTTCTGCTGTGTGGGGGAGGGTGTTTTTCCTGAGAAATTCTCTACCCAGTGCAGCAACACGGAGCCGCGAAACAAAGACGGAAGGCGAGAGCTGAGAGAAAGAAAAGCCATAAAATACAGTCAGTGGAATGTTATTTATCGATCGATGCCGCACACGAAAAATGCTTCGAAAGACGATGGAGGGATGAGGTCGAAGGACCATGTCGTGAAAAGGGAAAGTTTCTTTTCCCAACCACTTTCCTCGCCAAGCTCCTTTCTCTCGCTCACGACAAAATGGGAAACATGCAATTTTCTCTTTTCATGCCGCACTGCTTTCACCCCCCCAAAGAACAATTATTCTAATGAGAAAATCTTCCGAAATGGAAGGAGGAGCGCCTTCCCACTCTTGTGTCCCTTGAGCCTTATGCCTTCTGTGTTGCCATCAAAGGCGAAAATATATGTTGGTGGCGTTGCATCAAAGAAGCACACACAGAGACTTTCATGGACTTTTCCAACACACGAAATTAGCCATTTGAGAGATTACAGGGTGCGGCAATTAAATCGTCAATGACGAGAACTGCCAATTTTCGAGAATCGCAATTCAGCGGAGAGTTAATAAAAAATCACACTTAAAAAAAACATAACTGACGATGTGGAAGTCACGCCAAATTGCAAAAACAAGATATCACAACTAAATTTACATAAGATTCTCTGCAATGCGCGCGGGACAAAGCTGAAAGGCACTTTTTTTTGGCAGTCCAACAGAAAAAAATTTGCATCGGTTATGATGCGCTTCCGCCAATGGGAATTCGCGATGAATAGCGTTATTTATAAAAATCGTTTATTTAACCACTTTTTTCCACCACAAAACACCACAAACACACTTGTAACGTGAATATATGGCTGTATTTTCACGCGTGTGTTAATTATTTTCGTCTTTGACATTGAGAATATGTTGCGAATGAGTGAAAAAAGAAGCTTTTTTCCTCCACTTTGGCGTGAAACAGATTCCATTTGGCCATTTTAGGATGAATCACGCGGAATCGCAGGAAGAAAGAAAAGAAGAATTCCGCCTCAATGCAATCATTAGAAAAGTTCTGGGATGGCTTTGGGAGGAAAAAATTGCTCTTTCTCTCTCGCAGTGTTGGTTAATTCTCTTGGTGGTTTGACGAGAGGAGGAAAAAATTGTGGAATCCACGAATTTTGATGCGCACTCACCTGCAACAGAGTTTGTTTGTGTGAATATCTTGGCTTTTGTGCTGTTGCGAGTGAGAAAATAAACCTCTAAGATATATTGGCCTGAGGGGTGATCAAAAACACTTCCCGATGTCTACTCAAGACAGTTGAGACAAATCTTGAGCAAGTGGAAGTGAGCTCAGAGTAGCCAAATAATCAATTGACAGAACGAGAATTAGTCACTGAAATCTTCTCGAAGGAAGTCCAATTTCCACCCTTATGATTTGCCCTCTGTATGCGTTTTTTCATGACTCTACGAAAGCCTTTTCCACCACAGAATTGCGTCTATCTAAGACGTCGAGAATCATATTCCACGAGCAGTCTTGGCTGGTGTAATTGTGGCTAATAACGTGATTATTGTTATGACTTCCCGAAAATACACTTTGTTGCGTAATTACCCAGCGAGTGCACGTAAAAAGTGGCGGAGAAGCTCCTCTGGAGAGGAGAAAAAAACACACCATCAGCTTGTCTCTATGCGATCACATCGTGATGCACTCACAAGTGGAATCATAGAGCAATGAAGGTGATTTTCGATGGAGCCAACTAATATGGCTAGATAAGAAATTCCCCCTTTTTTCCGTGGAATCATCCACACACACTCACACACACCTGTGTGCGGTAATTGCCCAAAAAATTCACCTTGAAATGAGTGGTTTTATCATCATTATACTTTTTCCCCTGGAAAAAGCTCAATTTGAATTGCTGCTCTCACGATCTCTGAGCCGCGCTGTCCGAAGTGACACATGAAAAATGCATTTAGGGGCGATCGAAAGGGCACTGCGAGGTAATTCCGGCCATTTGACGCCAGTGTCTTAGAACAGAGCAATCGCCTAGGCTTCTAGCGGCACTCGAGGCAAGTCACAGCGTGGTTTTTTTTTTCATTCTATTGAGCAGCCCAACCAACACACCAACAGAGGTGCACACGGGCTTAGAAAATGGAAAGAAATTAACACAATGGAAGAGAATAAAGTGAATTTCGGACAGAAGAATTCGAGGGGAGATTCAAATGCGTCGCAATTCCTTCTCAGCCAAAATCATCTAATGCTCCGTCTCAACACACACACAGACTCACCCCTTCTCGCCTCATGAATTACGCAAAGTACTGCAGTGCACTCTGACTCCTTCCCCTTTTTTTCTATTTTGTCATCAACCCACTGATAAAGCGCCCCAGCCCATATGGTTGGTTGGGAATCTTGTTTTCCTCTTTCAACCACACTTCTGCTCCACTGCACAGAGATAGCGCGCGATGTGCTTCTCTCTCGCCCTCCCTTTTCGCCACGATGAGCCCACTCTCTCTCTATATGCAAATTTTGCGCCCCCATCGTCAACTGCAGCCCTGCGCCGCCACCCTTTATGGCGCCCCGCGGCGGGAAATGTGTGTCAACTGGGCTGAACACTTTCAATTCCCCTCGCTTATCATTTTCGGGAGAGAATTACATTTGGAGCGCCATTTGATAAGGTGACAAAAAACACATTTCCAACCAATGCGACAATATAGCGCAGTGTGTTGCAAAAAGACTTTTGCGTCACACACAAAAAAAAACCCGCGAGTGCCAAATTGAAATTCAGCTGCAAGACAGCAGAAGTGGCGATGAGTGTTTAAGGGGTATTCACTGTGTGGATTAGTTGATGAGCTCCTGAGTTCCTGAAAATAGCCGTCGGATGATTATAGGGGAGGGCGGGGCGGATTCGCACACAGCTCTCGTTTTTCTAGTTACACAAGAGGTTTCTAAGGCAACGTGCTTAATTTCCATCGTATATTCAGTAAATTATGCATTCAAGATTTGATTTAATTGTGTCTCTGCTGATGTGTCTGGGCTAAAATCTTGATTTTTCTATCCGAAATCCGTGAATTTCAATTGAATCATGCAATTCCACAGTGAATACCCCTAAAATTCCTCTGCCACTCTGTGTGTATCTGCTGAGATACGCGAGTTGGCTGAGGTGTGCGGAGGCAGCAAATGCGACTGGCGGAGTCAAATATGAAAAAAATATTAGTTCAGGTTCGATAAATACCAGTACCAATAGTCTCTCGCTTTGGCCACGAAGCGAAATACGCAATACTGCAATTGGCTTTTCGCTCCCCGCGAAAGAACCACATTATTATAAAAATGCCAGCACGGAAAAAAGCGAGCGCTATAATGATATTCACACACCATCTCTAATTCCAAATACTATGGCCAAAAAGTACGCCGTTCTCGCTCGCACATTCTATTGGTCGACGTCGCCTGCTCAATTTTATTCGTCAGCGCTCCAAAAGCAATATTACACTTTAGAAAAAAAGGCACTTTTTGCGCTTAGTTTCGCGCGAGATACGCGTTTGTGTGTGTGTCTGTGTCACATGATAGGAAGGCCACTCGAATACACAGCGGCGACGGGCCAAAATTTCCTCTCTCGCGCCGACCACCAGTGAAAAATTCGACATTTTTCCTCCACTGGTTAATTTAATTGTTAATAAAAATAAAGGCGAACGTGTCGCAAGATCGCGCGAGGCTTTCGCATTTTCGAAGATCCCACAGCGTTAGATACATTGCGAGCCTCGAGCTGGCCACACATCGGAGCTTTCGCGCGAAAGCTCTCACGCCCTCGACTCTGTATTGCGCGCTGCACAGGGGAATCTCAAGTGGATCAGAGCGTGATGTAGGCTTACCTGTATTCCGCTTCAACTACTCGAAGAATGGGTCGTTTTTCCGAAAAATGTTCACTGATCTTTCTTTCCTTTTTCACTCCACTTTTTTTAAGTCCAAAATGTTTTCTTTTTGTGTGTATAATTTGTCGTCGTGAATTTTTTTTTACGATTGATTTAGAATTTGACTTCCAAAAAGTTCCATATCGTCCAAAAAATGCCTCGATTGCAGCGGAATCAATACATCCCTGTCTTCAGTGGAAGTCAAGGGGTTGCCCTGGCTACTACCTCTTGCCACATACACTGCAACGGGTGCTCCTCTCTCTCTATTTATGGGTGTAATTGTGCAGATGAGGTGTGTTTTATTTGGGAATCGATAAAATTTCCTCGATTCACGCTCAGCATGAGCACAACACTTGGGACACCTCCGGCTTTAAACAGTTGACAGGAAAATCAATTTTCCAGTTTTTTCCACTCCGGAGGTCATTAACTACCACCGTGAGTTCGCCTGTCCCTCTCTCTCTCTCTCCACCTAGCACTCCTAGGTCCGCGCAATTCCTCGTCAAACAGAGATCATGCACTACGTTCGCTTCCTGGCTCTCCTTGCACACAAAGTGTTACACCGCGAAAATCGTCACCAACTCACGAGATAACTTCACGCCTTGGCGACTTGATAACTTCTTCTCGCCTCCTCTCTTTGACAAATCCAGTGTTCCGCAATTTTTTTCTTTGCTTCAGACGGTATTTCCAAACTCCCACAAGTCTCAAAACACTTGGTCAGCACACTTTTCCTTCCGCGATCGAGAGCCTATCCGCGAGTCAGGCCTCCTCGGTGGATCCTGCAACGCCTAAGCCCCACACTTCAAACTGCCAACTGCACCAGATTCAACTCATAGAACTGTCTTTTTGCACAAGTTTCTCGCCATTCAACTCGCATTTCACTTTTTTCTCTACTTTTAAATCCTTTCGCCGAAAAAATCTTCTTTTTTCCGCTGCAGTGCGCGAAATTGTTTTGGATAATATTTGTCCGTCAAGATGGTATTTATTATTTCCCCCGATAAAAATTGTTGTGTTGAAAAGGTAAGAGATAATTTTTTGAGTTAGCAATGCACTGTTTTTGAGTGCACGCTCCGAGCACCTCCAAAAGCTAGGGCCGAATAGACAAACATGAATTTGGAGAGTTGCGTTTCGGTGGCCCGGTTAATCATTGACGAAAAAGTGCTAACAGTAGAGCGGGATGGCGATGTGTGCACTGCTGAAAATTGCGTGCGGGACCGAAATGCGTCCACGGGAACAAATGAGACGGCCGAAATTTCGATTGCCGAAAACACACCAAACACGATTTTTTCATCTCGGGCTGGATGAAGTTGGCGGCGCGCTGGTGTGCGTGGCGGCGCGCGTGTGTGCGCCAATGCGGCCGAGTGTGCGTGCAGCGAATTCGGCAATTCGCGAGAGCAAGAGGGAGATAGGATGCGACTGTGGATGTGTGCAGCCGATGTGGCTGCAAGTTGCCGAAATTCGATGCCTCGGCGTGGTCGTGAGGGGCCTTTTTGGCAGCCATGCCGCTGTGTTGGTGTCACACTTGCTAGACGGAGACGGAGTGCGCGGCTAGGCCGCCCGGGCGCAGGGCAGAGCGGGATGCACGGCTTCTAATGCTTCACAGGGTTACTATGGTTATAATTCCATGGTTTCCAGCGCGCGGGACTCCTTCCCGCATCATCGCGCCGTCCTCGTCGCGCCCGCGGCGCCGCCGACGGCCGAGCGGGACGGCGCGAGTGTGCTCGGCATTTCGGCAATAGCAGCATGAATTGCATATAACCATAAAACATAGTCAAGCACTTTTTTCTTCGCCTCTCTCACTCTCCATCTGTCCATGAGCACAAAATCCATAGAATCTCCAAGTGTGTGCGTTTTGTGTATGCCGAAATGCCGAAATTTTCGGCCGCGATCGTTCCAACTCCGTCGCTGTGTTAGATTTTATTTGATTAGAACTTGTTTTTTTCGCCCGTCATACGCATACAATTGCAACTTTTGTACCAACTAGAAATATTGCCCACTCTCAATTCGGCACTTTTTTTTCCCCACTGCGGCCCCCCTTCGTTCTATTCTTTTGCTTGTGTTTTGATAAAACACTGCAAAATTCGCCTCGCAACCGCCGCAACTCGCAGGAACTATCAAGTGTCGCTTTGGGAAATTCCGCCTCACATGCACAACGTGAAATTTTTTTCGGTAACTTCGTTATCACCTACCTGATAATCTGTCAAGAGCATTTTTCTCACACAACGTCTTCCCCTCTTCTTCTCGCGGGGCGAAGAGGTGCCGTGTGCGCCAAGACGTTCAAATTGGCATTAGTTGCACGTGTCGCGGCGTCATCGGAGCTTATCGAGGAGAGAAAACCTTGAAGTTCAAGTTTCCACCGCGCCACTGTGTGCGCTTTTCACGCATCGCCGCACCGTTGCTAGCAGTGTAGCTTCTGCCCAAAAATCAACATGGCTCGCCGAATTGCGTTTTGCTGCTGCTGATGCTTTTGTGAAAGCCCCTCTTGACTTTTTTCCTCTCGCTTCTTCGCTATTATTGTAATTATGATGTCATACGCATTCACAGATGGTGGTTAGAGCAAGATAGACGCTCCGTGCGGCGCAGTTTTGCTCATTTTCACCAACAAGGCCAGCACTTGCGATCGGCTCACTTCAGCCACCTTCGGAGCTTTTGCATTGGCGTATGACTCTCTTCCCAGGGTGTGAGTGTGCGGCGGCAAAAGCTCACAGCCGCGAAATTGATGGATTATGAGGCATTTCCGTGCCACGGAATCGGAGAGAAAAACAGGAAAACCAGCCTGGGATTAGATTCTTTCGCATGCAATATCTGTGATCGTGCGAGGCTTGAAAGCAAGGCTCTTCGGGGAGCTTTTGCTGCGCACGTCCGTGCGAAGGAGAGAGCAAAAGCCGCTCCTGCAGGCGGAAGAGAGGATGATAAAGTGCAGAAAAATGCCACAAGCTCACTGGCTTTTTTGCGCTGCCTCAAACTCACCCCCTTCGCCGCCACCCCCAAGTGGGGTTGTCACAGGACGAGCGAGGAAAGTGAAAGTTCGCGGGTGGGAGAGGCGCCAAGAATGCGGAAAACGCAAGCTCTGAAGGAAGTGCGGGTTGAGTTTTCCCACCGAGGAATTCTCTCTGCTGGCCAAATGCGGGTAGAATCAGCCCCACTTTGCCGCGGGAAAGAGTGAGCGAGAGCGAGAGAGGTGAATAATAAATTTCCCTTTGAAAGCTGGGCTTCCTCCCCAACCACCGCCACTTGTGTCCCACATTCCGTGCGTTTGCCCCACGTTTCCACCCCACGATGACCTCCCGCCCACACTCGAGTGCCGGTGTCAGTTTGTGTATTTACTTATTTATTGAAAAGCATTAATTTTGCACAGGGGAAGTGCGGGCGAGCGAAAGGGGGCGAAAGAGCAAAAATATATGCCCATTCTGACGTTCTGCGGCTCAGGAAACAAAGGGCACACAGCCTGGGCGGCTGAGGATGCGAGGGGCGAGAGAGAGAGGGTTGAACCCTTCCATTTTCGAGACCCACTTCACGCATTTCGAGTCACACGCGCGCTGCGATGCTTTAATTGCCAATATTCATGCAACACACCCCATCTCGGCATCTCTGCTTCTGGCGCCTTCACTCGCACCTGATATGCGACAAGCACCTAATGAGTGTGCTCGAGGGAGGGCGAATTCAAATCACTCTCATCCCGGCCATCGATTTTCCGGCCGATGGAAAATGGCTCTTGCTCTGCAGTTGCACGAATTTACATCCTATCAAGTTAGTGGACAATGCGAGAAATCACAGACGAATCTGTCGCTTCAGGCTATATTTCCAGGAATTTTCAATTATTTTCCCAGAAGATGAGGCTATATTTTGACGTGCTTCATAATAAACATTCTTTAAAAATTCATAACTCGAAAGAAATGCATATAATACTTCATGTTCATATTCTTAGCCTGATATTCCACTTGGCTTTTTAGTTATCGACAATTGAAGTTTACCCAAGTTTTACTACCATTTTAGGAGAGAAATAGTTAAAATCAATAGTTTAAAGCCCAATTAGTCCACATCAATCTTATTTTCCCCCAAAAAATTGTGTTAAAATAAGGAAATTTCACGTATTTTGTGTCGATAAGTTATTGAACTTACCGACATTTCAACGTAGTGTTAAAAATGCATTGAAAAAGACATCTGACAACGAGGAATTATACATTTTACAAGTGATTTTCCTAGATTAAAGTCTTTATTGTCAAATTTCACGCTCTTGAGCAGAAGAAAAGCCATTTTTACCCCCAAAAGCACGTGCCGAAGAAGTCCCACTGCCCCGCTAGGGAGAGTGATTTGGGCTAATTGCAGAGTTATCACCTGACTGGCTGAAATACCAAGCTACACAACTATCCGCAGAAGCGTGTAATCAATATCATGAAAATTATTGGGTTTCGGGGATTAATTAAAAGCTCCCAGTGAGGCGAAGGGTGTGGAAAAATGCCGTGCAAAGTTGCGGAAGCTTGATGCCTGAAATTGGCAGAACAGAGGGAGAGTGCGATAAGGGATTTGAATGTGCCTCACTTCGTGCCATCACCCGATGAAATATCAAATGATGCTTTTGGAGAGGGTGAAAATTCAGGCGCTGTGATACTATTTCCTGGAAAATGAATAATGAGTTTTCATTGATTTTGCCCTCCGCACGACGTCTCACCCACTCGGCAAGAGTCGTTCTCTAGGTACGCATGAAATTCTCCACTAAAATACGAAAATTAAACACAAACACACGCACGACACTCGCAGGGAATTCAACCCCTGCGCGCGGGTAGAGATGAAGGCTAATGTGGGAGCTTTTCAATCTTCCCGGAGAGACTCCGTGGCGACATATCATTTTCACGATGGAATCAACATTCAAATGACGCGCGCCTCGCGAGGGTGAGCGAAGATGTTTGCTTTGAGATCTCTGCGTGCGGTGCAAAAGAAAAGCCGAAATTCCACCCCCAGATTTCTGTGCATTCACAGCAATTCTAAAGATGAATAGTTGTGAAAATGCAAATATGCTTTAATCCGCTTTTGGATGGCGAGATAAATTATTTATTTCCCGAGTGAGACAAGTAGCACGGAACATCGCGCTTCTGCCGCGCTCGCGGGGGAGAGAGAAAAAAATGTACGAATATATTGCAAATTTCAGGCACAAACACCTCGAGCGGTGTGTAATAAAATTTTGGCGCTTATTGGAGCTTCTCTGACTGGCCGCAACTTAATTACGCTCGACCACAAATTAATTGCATCTCGAGGCGATCTCTTCCAGTTCAATCGCCTCACCCTGCAATTGTGGCACTGAAGTGATGCGCGCAGAGGTAATTGCGAGTAATTCAAGGTGCTTCAGTATCTGGCCTTCCGTGCATTTTTTGGTGCTTTTCGCCAGAAAAACACGCATCCAATTTCACTGCCTGGAATAATTCCATTTTAATTGGTTTATTGCGCGTCAAACTACGCTCGCGGCTTCCGATAAATCAAACCATAAGTTCAGTAATTCTTCCGCTTCACTGCAGAGAGACGAGAGAAAAAACACACTCACTTTTTCCAAAATGAAGAGGGATGATGGCGGAGGGTGTGTGCAGAGGAGATATGTAAATGCAGTGAGGGTTTGGCTATGGCTCTCTCTGTATTTAATTACAAAATATTGTGATGTCTGGCGTGGCGATGAGTTATTGAAAATTGATTTTCCGTACATGTTGTGGCATTTTTCCGCGCGCGTGGTGGTGGGAAAAACAGGGGCGCGTGGAGGGTGAAAGGAATCAATTGAATGTTTGATTGCTGTTGTATTTGATTTATCCAAAGTCACAGGAGAAGAGAAAAGTGATGTTTAGCAAGTGAAATGTCGCTTTGGCATCTCGCATTGAATAAAGATTTATGCTGTCTGGAGGTCGTCCCGAAAAAATTTCGATTTCCTCCGGTGGTGATTGACAAGATCTGGGGACGAGAGGTTTGGTGGGACAGCTCTGAATGTGACCCAGAGTGAAGACACGCAATGTGCTGAGACTGGCGCTAAGGAGATCCTGGCGAAGTGTGTTGGAAATTCAGGTGCATTTTGAAGTTAATCTGACCAAGGAGGAGATAATATGCCTAATAA